ACACATACACACATACACATACACATATACATGCATACACACATACACACACACATATACATGCATACACATATACACATACAAATATACATACATACACACATACACATACACACATACACATATACACATACACACATATACACATACACACACATACACACACACACACACATACACACATACACATACACCATACACATATACATGCATACACATATACACATACAAATATACATACATACACACATACACATACACACACATACACACATACACATATACATGTATACACATATACATGCATACACATATACATACATACACACATACACATATACATGTATACACATATACATGCACACACATATACATATATACACACACATACACACATACACATACACATGTATACACATATACATGCACACACATATACACATATACATACATACACATACACACACATACACATATGTACACATATACATACATACACACACGTACACATATACATATACACATATACGCATACACATGTATATATATACACACATATACACATACACATATACACACATATACATACATACACACACATACACACATATACATACACACATACATACATACTCACATACACACACATACACATATACATATACACATATACACACACACACGTACACATATACATATACACATATACATGTATACACACATATGCACATACACATATACACACATACACATATACATACATACATACATACACACATACACACACATACACATATACATACATACACATGCTAAAGGTGTTAATGTGTTTACAAATGAGAAAATGTTTACCTTTTACTTATAAATCCAGCTAATGGGAATAGTTAGAAGAATCTAGATTTACATGAATTAATAGTTGCAATTGGTCAAAGGTTCTCTCTCTCTTTTTTGAAATTGCATAGCAAATGGTCTATCCTGAGGGATAATCCACATGCATTTGAAAAGAATGTGTATTCTGCTGCTACTGAGAGGAGCTTTCCACAGGGGTCTGATTCTCTGCTCTTTTATAAAGCAAGGCTGAGCACAGAGGCCAGTGTACATAAGAACTGTGGAATCCAGGGCTGTAGGTTTCTCCATCTGGGCAAGGCAGGAGGGGTACTTTTTAAATGTTGGTATTGCAAAAGGCCTGGGTATAATTCCGCTTCTGGCTCTTTCTTAGTAAATCACTTGATTTCTCAAAGCCAGCATTTCCTCCTCTTTGGAAGGGCGTGATACAAACAACCCTGGTATCACAGGGGCTGTGCGTAAGGGGCCTCTGCAAACACGACATAATCACTCTGATCTCTGCTTCTATTCCTGAAGTTCCATCACATTTCTTGCTCCCCGGACACAGGCAGTGCGTGGAACAAACTCGAGTCACACTGGCCCCCCTTTAAAGGCAGGATTTTCTCCAATCCTTTAGCTGTCCTCAGTTTTTCCATGTATTACATTGCCCAAGCCACACAGTGTCACATTTAGCCACGGTGACAGCACACCTATTCTCTACCACTTTCACACATATACGGCTTGTCTAGCTAATTAGCATTCTCCTTTGCACACCTTTTTAATTTCTAATTTTACCCATGTCATGCTTACAGTTTCTGTGCCCCTCCTTCCTCTGACAATTTCACTTGAAATGCACCCTCCTTCTTCAGCTGCGATGCTTGTCAGATGTTTATGTTGTCATCTCTCCAACTGAGCCTTAAATTAGTTGTTACCTGAGTTTAGGGATGTTGTGATTCTTTCTAGCACGCCACGGTCTCTTTGCTTTTTAATCATTGCACTGCTCAACTGCCTGGCAGGTCCAGAGTGCCCGTAGTATTTCTAATGTTGCTTAGCCAGGTCCCGAGGCTATGGAGAGTATGATGCCCACATCAGGGGATGGAGTCAATACCCAAGCTCAGAAATGCAGCATTCCAGGCACCAAGCCAGTGCAGGGAAGCAGCCTCTGGGCTGCGTGGTGTAAGTCCTGTGGTCCCTACTCCTCTGGAATTTCATTTGCTTAACTCTGCTCTAATTAGCACACACTAGAATTCTGATATAGACCAAAGATTTCCCAATTATTAAAAATGCCATAGCATGGAGGGAATCCTGCAGTGACGGCCTAATTGAATGAAAAAGGGCAAGTGCGTTCTGAAGGAGACTTTAACAACAAATCCGGAGCCACGGTTTAGGGAAGAGAGGTAAGAACCAGGGACAACTGATCTTTCTGCAAACACCAAACCAAAAATGTTGGACACTAGATGGCAGCAGTGCCCCATGTTTTCCTTCCAAATTAACCCAGTCCTGATACCTAGGGGGTGAAAAAAAAATCACAGAATTAACACACAGATAGAACCATATTGCCCAATCAACCTGTTTTACTTGAAAGCCGTTTCCCACCCTCCTCCTATTTATGACCAAGAAACAATTTGGTATGAATATTGTAACTCTCTGATATACGATCTGGCCGTAGAAAATACCTCAAATAAATAACAGCAAAAATGAGTGGTTACTGGAATTTGAGACCACTATTTCTCAATGATTTGGAGCAAATACATCATTTGCACTCTTGGGAAAGGAGGGGGCATGAAAGTCTTTTCAGGAAGGTAAAATTCAACCTGGAGCCCAGAGCCCGTCAAGACTGTGCATGAAGGTGTTCAGCTTCTCAGGTGACACCCGATGTTCCCAACAGGGATCTTAATAAGGTGAAAATCACCCCTGTGTCCTGGCCCAGGATGCTTAGATTTTGGAAGCGTTTTTTAATGGCAGAAATCCTTCTTGGTGACACCAGTCATTAGGAACGGCAGTGCAAACACAAGACACCATTTCTCAAGGAGAAGTCAGCTCTTTAGCTCCTGAAAGAGATCAATTTTTCCTGATGAGGAGCTCCAGATGAACTATGGGAGCACTTAATGGGTCTTAAAAAGCGTTTTTGTTCACTTCTGAGTTACAGACACTGCAGGCACAGAGGGGTGACCCTCATCTCAGCAAGTTTCACTCAGCCTAAAGAGCAGAACGCAGGGTTTCCACTAGGAATTCCCCTGAGTCTGAGCTTCCTGCCTTCAGCTCCTCCTTCCAGGGACAACCAAGGCAAGACAGAGCTTGGCACCAGGGGAAGTGCGGCTCCCATGTAGGACTCCCACGCTCAAGAGCGAGTCCAGCGCTCATACTGGGAAGCTTGTATAGCTACAAAAGAGAAGATTTGTGGCAGTGGCTCAGTTGCTCCCTATGTGTTCTGAGGGGACAGAGAAAGTCACACAATTCCAAGATCGTGATCTTTCACTTCCTGGATTCACCATAACATCCTTATGGAGCCTAGAAACCGCGGGGATGGGGAATCTAAGAAAATTAAAATAGAGGTGTGGAACACTGGGAGGCCACCAACTCACTCAGTCCCCCAAACTGATGGAGATGAAGTGGAAATGCAGATGTAATGACGCAGTCAGTGAGAGAAACGGACGCTGGGTTCTCCCCCAGCCGCTGACTGTGTGGGGGACACACAGTAGGACCTTTAGCGCACTGTCTCCAGGAGCCAGGTATGATCTTTCTCTAAGTTGTGGGCTTTCCATATTCTCGTCCCTGAAGTCCTCTAAAAGGACTAAACCGTTTTGGTTAAGAATAGTGAATTCTATAAATGTCCCTCTGTGAAAACATCATTCACTTGGGGGTTTTCTCTCATGTTACACTTCTCCCTGAAAGTCTTGCCTTTCCTATTCCCCAGAAATTGAAGGACAGGACGACTTCCCCTATTGGGGAGCTGGGTGAAATCCAGTTCACTGTAGCAACCACTGCTATTCTAGAGCTAATGTTCCCTCCCTGCTAACGTGATCATTTTGCAGAATCAGGGAGCACCTCTGTCCCTTTTCTCTTAAGGTTCCTTCTCAACCAGTTGAATTTTAGACGTAGTTTCGCTGGAGGATGTGACAATAAACCGGCTCTCCTAATCAGACCAGAATATTAATTCTGGGAACTCTACCTCATTTTGAATTTTGTATGAACCCGAAGTATGTCCGTGGAGTTGGTTAACCCTAAAACAACCCAAAGTCAAGAAATTAAAAAAAAATTGTGTAGCTCCTTGCAAATAATCGTCTTGTCAATTAAAAAAAAATAAAAAAAAACTGTGTGCGTGTGTGTTCCTTCTTCCGAGTTAGAGGTTGTGCCCCTTCTCTTTCCGCTGGCATTTCTGCTCTAAGTTACGCAGGGGCCTCCCTCTGGGCAGCAGAAAGAGAGAGGGTAGGTGGAGGCCGGCCTCTGCCCTTGCAGACACCCTGTAGTCTGCTCCAGTCGCGGGGTTGGTGTTGCTTCTCCCTGTGCGCGGCGGGGGCTTCCCCCACCCCAGCGCCCAACAAGTCTCGTCTCTCCAACCTGCGCACCGAGGCGCCGGAGGCCCAGCGGAGCGCAGCACCGCGCGGGGAGCCCGCGCCCGGGCTCTGTCTGGGATTGCGCGGGGCCAGCCTCCTTCCCCTCTCTGTGGGTAGGGATGGTTGAGTCCAGCCACCGCGGCAGCGGCTCCTGGTGCCGCTAGCAGCCTGTCTTCTGCGCTCTCCGCCTTTTTCTCTCCAGACCGAATCTCCTCCCCCCGCGCCCCCTCCCGCATCTCCCACTCGCTGGCTCTCTCCAGCTGCCTCCTCTCCAGGTCTCTCCTGGCTGCGCGCGCTCCTCTCCCCGCCTCGCCCCCTCCCGCAGTCTCGCCGCCTTGGTGCCTTCCTGCCCGGCTCGGCCGGCGCTTGTCCCCGTTCCCGGCCCCGCCAGCCCGGGTCTCCGCGCTCTGAGCAGCTCAGCCCCGCAGTGGCTCGGGACCCGATGCTATGAGAGGGAAGCGAACCCGGCGCCCAGACCTGCAGGAGGCGTCAGATGCGCGGCGCGGCGGGGCTCGGGACCCGGCTCCCTCTCCGGCTCGCCTCGCCCTCTGGTGATTATTTGGCTCTGTTCATAGCCCCGCGGTTCCTCGGAGGAGACGGGCACATCAGAGAAGAGCCACCGGTGTCGTGTGCGTGTGGAGTATCTGCAGACATGACTGCGTGGAGGAAATTCGAGTCGCTGCTCCTGCTCCTGTGCTCGGGGCTCCTCACTGCAGCTAAGGGTAAGACAGGCTTGCTCCTCACCGGGAGACGCCGAGCCCTCGGAGGCCCCGTTCGCGAGCCCGAGTGTCTGGGGGACCGCAGGGCACAGAGGAGCTGGCATCTGCCGGGCGGTTCTCCATCCCCGGCGCTCCTGCAGGCAATGCCCGGGAGCGGAGCTTCCCTCGCGCTCCCCTCAGCCCTCAACTGCCCCCGCCCCACCCCCGCCATTCCTGCCCCTCACTCGGGCTAAAAAGAGATGTCTCTATTTTCTCGGTGGTAGTGGTTGCCGGGCGGAAAGGAACCAGCAACCGAACGCGAATTGGGTTGAAACTACGCTCTAGCGGGGCGGCGTTGCCTTCTCCAAGACGCGGGCACCACGGGTCGGGGCTGCTGGGGTAGTTCCCAGGACTTTCCTCCCCGGACCCGCCGGCCTTGCAAGTCCTGGCTGTTTACAGGGATTTGGGGACTGACCGCTAAAGGTCCCTGCCGGCCGGCCTCCCCGCATCCTACACCCCATTCCTCTGTGCTCCCCCCGCACCCCCGGGACTCGGCAGGCGAAGAGTAGCTGCCTCGGTGTATAAGGTCGCCCCCGCTCGCCTCTCCCCCGACTTTGCTCCTTCCAAGTTTTAAGGTGCAGGCGAGGTGCGTGGAACATGCGGGGAGTTCCGTTCGGGTCTCCAAGTCAGAGATATTAGTCCTTTTGTACCCCTGGTCGGGGAAGGAGACGCTTTGGGTGGCTTCTGGAGCTTGGGGCTCTGCGATCCTCGTTTTCTCCTGGAAAGGAGTCGGGGAATGTTGTCTCCTAACTAGCCTACAGGCTGTAACCTCGAGGCGGCTCAAGGCAGGCGAGAGCTCCTGCAATTGTCTATTCTCTGGGAAAGAAAACAGGAGGGGGAGGGAGAGAGAGACTATTGATTGATTTTCACATTGGAAAGTGCCTGCCCTCGTTTCCTCATTGTCAGCCTCGTGGACGCTTCCTCTATCAATGAACACCCATGGCAGACCCTCCTGGGAATGCTCTGTGTGCATGGATTGTTCTTCTTTGGAAGGAGGGAGTCAATCCTGTGGTTTTACTAGCGTTTGCTCTTTCCCTGGGGAGAAGTCCCCCTTCCTCTCCAGATTCTTCCATATTCATTCAAGAGTGATTGAAGAGGCGAAGGCGGACTAGACGTGGTTCGTTAGGGAACTCCAGATCAGCTTGGGAGAGGAGATATTTGTAGGCTGGGCTTCTCCTCCCGGTCACGCTTCTCTATTCGACTTCCAGGGCTGGGCAAGAGCTGACTGCTAGACACCTGCCCCTCCACACAAGCCACCCTCACAAAGGGGTGACTGCCAGGGGGAGCCCCAAAGTCCTGGGAGCACAAACAGTGGGTCAGAGTCGCCCAAGCTCACGGTCCTTTGGGATTCAGAGGGACCCTCTGCCCTCCTGCCCTGCTTGGTCCAGACAGTCTGTCTTGGCCGCTGACACCCAAACTGCCGGTGGTGGAAACACCGTAGGCCGAACCCAGGCCAGGCTGGCAACGGCCTCCAGTCGCACTGAACTAGCTGCGAATTGAGAGGCGAAACAGGAGTGGGGGGCAAAGAGAATTGTGCCCTGGGACGTGTGGGGGGCGTGTGTGTGTGGCACAGGGAGAGGCAAGGGCCAGTGGTGCGAACCCTGCTCTGTCCAGCTCTTCCTCCGTGTGCAGAAACACCTGCCATGCAACTCGGCAAAACTTCCCGCCCTCTCCTCTGCGCTCAAAGCCCATCTGGGTCATGGGCTTCCTCATTCACCGGAAGGCAACCCAGCCTCTAAGTGAGCTCTCGGTTCCCCCGAGTTCCGCGTGCTCCGAGCTCCCTTCCCCCGCAATTAGCAGAGGTTGCTGCGTGGAGACGGCGGCATCCCGGCTCGGCTGCTTAAGAATCCGCACACGTGTGTGCCTGGCGGATTCCTCTCCCCGCGGGTGGGCTGCTGCGCTAGGCAGAGGCGGGGGGCGGCGAGGAGTGAGGGTGCGAAGATGCAGGTCGTGGGCGGGGGCTGCCCTCCATGGTCTCGGGGATAATAGGGCAGGGGGCGCAAAGTCCTGGGTGCCCGTGGGCCCTGACCAGCAGCGTCACATAAGACAGTGGCTGTGGCGTGCTGCAGGCCCCAAATCAGGCTGTAGAAGCCAAGAGGTAGAGCCCAGTGTCCCAGGCCCCTCCTGTGCACCTTGCTGGAGTAGGGTGTGTGTGTGTGTGTGTGTGTGTGTGTGTGTGTGTGTGTGTGTGTTTGCGCGCGCGCGCGCGCGTTCAAGCTGGCGCATTCGTGTGTGTGCGCGCGCACAGGGGCCCGGGACTCTCAGACGCCGCGCTCACTGCGCTATTGTCTGGTCCACAGGGCTGTGGGTGCGCGTTGTTTCTTTTTTATCCCCAGCGGGACCCAGGGTCCGGTCTCCTCCGCGCCCGCCAGGTCCAGTGCGTGTGGGAGTGGCCGCGTGGGAAGGGTCTGTAGGCCTGCGGGAGGCCGGTGACACCAGCACCAGAGTCGCTGTTTCTGCGCTGTGGCAACAGGGGTGGGGTCTCATTTCCCTTGCTGAGCAAAGCCCAGGTGGCGTAGGTCGGTCCTCTGCCCCGGGTGTGGGCTCTGGGCGCCTGCGCGGAGCAGGGCTCCCTTCAGGAGGGGACCTTCGGGGAGCGCGTGCGGTCGCCGCAGGCAGCTGTGCCTTGTGCCCAGGTGGCGGCTCCCGCTGTGGCGAAGGCAGGCGCGTAGTTTTGGATGCGTGGGGCATAATTCGTGACCTGTTTGCGGAGTCGTGAGGTTGTGGGCGGCCCCAGTTAAGGTCATTGGAAGCCGTCACCTTTGGTACAGAGTATCAGCCTCGCTTGATGGTGCTAAGCTCTTCAGAGAAATGTGGCGGTGCCACGAATTCGCTGTTGATTCTGTTTCCCCTTGATCATTAATGGTGTTGTAAAAGTCTTATCCAAAGTGTGCGTCTCTCTTTAAATTCACGTTTTAATGGACCGCGGGAGAAAGCATTTCCAAAATCTAGTACACAGGTGGAGTAATTCCTTCCTTGAGCGACTGCTCAGATCTCAGCCCTTAACCCAGGGCTCACCTACCCGCGGTTGGGACAAAGTTTGCTTGTCAGTTGTTTCCTGCGTGTGCGCAACGGCGAGAACGCGGGTGTTTACAGGGAATTACTCAGAAAGCGTCCTATAAATGAGCAGATGGGACCAGTCTCAGACCAGTCTCATTTTAGGAAGCCTGGTCGAGAAAGGTAGAGTATTTATCAAGGTAAGTATTCCTTACTTTTGCCCACCCAGCCAGCGGTTGAAGCACACTTCCCATAGAAAACATATAATCCAAAGCAGGAGAAAAAGATGCCCCCTCACCTGCGCGCTTCTGGATGAGTTTTTGTTTGTTTGTTTGTTTGCGGTTTTGGGCCAGGGCTGGGCTTGAACCCACCACGTCTGGCATATGGGGTCAGCACCCTACTCCTTTGAGCCACAGGCGCTGTCCTGGATGAGTTCTCCTTTGAAAAATTGATCCACCACGAAGGATGCTCAGACCTTCCGTCTGCTGATAAGTTTTCTTTAGGGAAGGTGGCATCCCATTTGCTTCATCTCCTGATGAAGCAGGAGACTCCTGTGAGTAAGAGGCTTTCACAGAAAACCCCTACCCCTTCATGCACTCAGTCGGGGGTCCCTTGATGTGAGCTGATGTCCCTGTGTTCCTGGTTTTCTGGGCAGATCATGTCCTTTCCTTATTGCATCGTCAGGGGTATTATTATTATTATTATTTCAGTGCACACTTGGCAGTACTTCTGGGACACCCGTAGAGTTAGTTAAGTTTGGAATTTTGACTCCTTAAAAAGGTGAGCACAGGCTAGCCTTTCTTTGGAAGTAACGGGTTTTGTAAACTTCAATAGGAGGATGATGAGGTCTCATCAAACAAGTCCAGAGCAGCAGACTGCAGGTGTGAGGAGTGTGGCGTCCCCAGGGCTTAAGCATCTTGCTGGCAGGGCCTTGTGAGGAAAGGGAAGGGCTGTTTTTACAGGAGCTTCTGCTGGCCACTCACACTCGCTAAGATGACTGCCACAACCACGGTGCTTGAGTTCCTACAGGCACAAGCAGCTCCTCTTGGGGGCAATGCTTCCTTAGTCTCCAGTTTATTATCTCAAACAAACACCAACACAGCTTTGAAAATGTCAAGAAAATGGTTCCGCTTCCTTTAAGAAATAGGTAAACAAAAGCTCAGGGACTGGCTAGTGCTTACTGTGGCCATCCAGCAAATCCACTGGAGACATTGCTAAGCTGTCAAAATGCAAATGACATATTAAATACTCTATATTCCACCGAATTCTGAATGCGCTTCTGGTAGTTTTTCTGCTGAGCTCATAGTGAAAATAAGCTGTTACAACTTGCGTGCATGCGATTTAAGCTGCCGTTCCCTTCGGCCTTTTGTATGTCTTCTGGTTCTGTGCGGGTCCCTCCGTGAGATAATTAAACAGTTGCATGGCCAGTCCTTGCACACAGTAGATGTCAAAGATAGGTCTTCTTTTATGTTAACTTTATTTGATTAACTAATAAATCAGAGAAGATATGGAGTAAAGGCACAGATGACCACCGTCAGTATTTGCACCTTTGGGTTGGTTGGAGTTATTAAAAGCCTTTTACGCCTATGCTGGGAGAGCAGGAACTCAGACGCAATGACCAAGTCTAACCAGTTTGAATCTCTGCTCCCGCCACCAAAGCAACTACAGACAGATACTTTTTTATAACAGGAAGACTAGACTGGATATGCAACCCGAGGCAAAGAAGTAGATGTTTTGGCCATGCTAAAATGAATAAATTTGGAAGGAACTCAACTGTCTTTCTTTGCCTTCAACTGCACAACCACTGTGCTTACTGGTTATTAATTTCACAACAACCTATAGGTATAAAAATCAAGTAATGTATTTAGATATTTATGCCTAAAGATAAAGAAGTCAGCTTTTCCCACAATGACTTTGAAATGATCTTCCATGACCTTTGATTAATTTCTACTTATGCATTTAGGGTA